GGCGGCCTCAATAGGCGAACAGCTAAAGTCTTCTCCTTACATGCACTGGGATCCCATATAAGCATTGGTTCTAATTCCGGTGGTCCGGAATCCCGCCCGACTCCCTGCTTGTGGCTTGTGGAAGCATTTTAGGACAGCCCAAACCTTTGGGAGACTACACCCATATGGGAAACCCAGAGGAGGCTCTTAATCTTGGCTTCAGATCGGCACTGCTCTTACTATAGCCGCCAACTGCGGAGTGAATCAGCACACAGATCTTCCTCTCTGACTCTCCTTTCTGTTCGTCTGACTCGCCAATAAAAATAAATAGGTCTTAAAAAAAAAAAAGAAAGAAAGAAAGAAAAGAAAAGAAAAAGGAAAAGAAATACTCCGTTAGCTTTTGTTCAAGTCATATCATTGTTCCTATTCCTAGAATATTGTCCGCAATCATCATAAAACAACCCAAAAATTAGGAATATTTTATTTTCTAATAATCCTATTTTTTAAAAAAAAAGATTTATTTATTTTTATTGCAAAGTCAGATATACAGAGAGGAAGAGAGACAGAGAGGAAAATTTTCCAGCCAATTATTCACTTTCCAAGTGCCCCCAATGGCTAGAGCTGAGTCAATCCAAAGCCAGGAGCCAGGAGCTTCTTCCAAGTCTTCCATGCAGCTGCAGGGTCCCAAGGTTTTGGGTCGCCCTCGACTGCTTTCCCAGGCCACAATCAGGAAGCTGGATGGGATGCAGGGTTGCCAGGATTTGAACTGGCGCCCATATGGGATCCCAGGTGTGCAAGGTGAGGGCCTTATCCATTACGCTATCACGCTGGACCCCTAATAATCCTGTAAAATTACAGGTACAATTAATGCGTGTCATTTCAGTTGATATTGCAAGGATTAAGAATTCCAAAGAAACCTTAATCTCAGAACATGGGAAAGAACAGTTGTGAGTTAAACTCGCACCCAGCAAAGTTTTTGTGTACTTCTTTTAGGATCATTCTTGGAGTCAAACTATTGAACATAAAAATCCAATAACGAACATCCTGAATTCAAATATGTATATAAAAAAAGCTGTGTGTGAGAGAGACATAACATTTTTGAAGTTATTCAAAAACATTTTTAGATTCAGAATATGAGTTAAAGAAACAACAACAAAATAAGTAATGAACTGTAATGACTGTTTTTTATCAGTCACTGCATGCATTGAATGACAGCTCAACGGAGGTAATAAATATTATCACATGTTAAAAGCACTGGAGACTTAGGAGTGAGAGCGAAAGTGAGGTTCATGAGTCTTTAGTTCCATTTTCGGATGCAGAGTGAACCTGATGAGTTTCTTAGTATTCATAAGTTTAATTTTCTACTTCTATAAAGTAAAATGGCAGCATCAAATTCACTATATCCAAATTAGTCATCAGTAGTCCCTTATACAAGGGTGTCTCTAGACACTGTGGTAACATAACCCCATGGGGGCGTCGGTTTGTGTCCAGCGTGCTTCATTTCTAATGCTACTCCCTGTCCCTGCCGTGGCCTGCGGAAGCATAGTGGATGGCCAAAACCTCAGACCATGTCCAACATGGAGGCTCAGAATAAGCTCCTGGCTCTTGCTTTTGGACTGGCCCAGCTCTAGCCATTACAGCAGATGGAAGCTCTCTCTCTGTAACATTTTCAAATCTTAAAAAAAATTTTTTTTAATTAGTAAGGGTGAGGGAAGAGTAAAGATAGACTTCTCACATATTTTATGTCTTAAATAAAAAGTATTATTTCATATTTAAAATTAAGATAGCAGTCCTAATGTTTATTGTGAAAATTAAGTAAATGTAAAAATGTATTAAAATGATGATTAGTTTAAATTCAACTTTTTCATTTTAAGGATGAGAGGCATATATGGAAACATCTAGAAACTTAGTGTCATTTGGTTCATTATCTGATAGCTCTTTACGTTGAACGCTTTTTGCGATGTGTACATCTAACTTTTGTTATTTGAGACAGGAACACATTTGGGAAGGAATACAAATGCACAAACCTTTAATAATGTAATTGAAATGCTTCTGGCCACAGCCTAGCAATAAAACTACAGCCTTCAGCAGATTGTATCCATTCCCATCATTATCTGGAGGGTTCTTTATCTCCAGCTCCTGAGATCACACTTTATAAGACGCGAAGCAATTGGAGAAGTTCACTTGAGATCAAATGCATTGACTAGAACATTTTGAGAATTCCTACCTCAGAAACAGTCCCCTAAGCCATTAGAAGTGTGTAGATTGCATATAAAACACCACCATTTTCTTTCCGCTAAAATGCATATGATGCACAATTAGATTTTAAATTATAATTTTCTAGATATTTTTTCTGTGAAATATTTTAATATGAAATTAATTGTTTTAAGAATTTTCATAGCTCATTACAGAAGGTGCATTTTCAAAGAACTCCATGTATCTTATTGTTGCCATGTCATTATGTTGTGGCTATCATCAAACAGGTCTAACAACCATTTTATTTTCTTCTTGGTTATAATCTGCCCATCTGGGTCCTATACTTATGACCGCATTGCTTTTCTAAGGCTGAGAAGATAAGAAACTATTTGAAGAGGATAGAATAAGAAATATTTATAATATATCAAGATAGGACATTTCTGTTACATTTTTAAATTTAATGCCATTTGTGCTATATTTTTGTATTTTTATTGCTCTTTTCCATGATACAGCTTTGTGGGTATTGGGATTCCTCCCTCCACCTTCCTGCTCTCCTTCCCCTTCTCCTGAACTCCATTTCCCCCGTGTTATTGCAATAGTACAGTCCTTCGGGAACAGTGACAGGTCCATTGGTGTTTTGATAGGAAAAATAACTTTGGTTGAGAAAAAAACTTTAATGGAAGGGCTAAAAGGGCGATAGCTGCTTGTCCATCACAGGTTACTTAACTTTTCTTTCTTTATTAGATTAAATATCTTTAAGTCTCTTCAGAACAGCCTATTATTCAGTGAGTTGAATATTGAAATGGGCGATCAACTAAGGTAAGAGTGGTTTTGACTGATTTCCATTCATAGATGTGTAACAGGCCACGATTTCTCTGTCTGTTTTTTAAGAGTCTGGTTTATGGCTATGTTTGTCACAAAGACCACCCAAGTTTGCCTTCCTTTCTCAGAGGGCTTCCCAGGGCCAAGGTGCCGAAGAGTTGATGGTTGTTATGTGGAAAGAAAAGGAAAGATCCTTCCTTTCATTTTAACTTCTCTTCCACATGTGCAGCTCTCAGCTGCATAGGATTTCCTTAGTGAGTTGGTTTCAGATTAAGTCCTTTGTCCTCTTTCTACATGTGGTAATGAGTCAAATCACAAATGAACAAATTGATTCTGGTGTATGAGATGTCTGAACATAAAATGCTCTCTCTCTCTCTCTCTCTCTCTCTCTCTCTCACACACACACACACACACTGAGAAGACTGTGTCAGCCACCTCTCCTTTACCACTTGTCATCAAAGGACTAAAACATAACATTTGATTAGGTGAAAGCAGTGGACAGAAATCCAAATTTTCCCCATCCAACGAGGCATTCAATTGTAGATTCTGAAAAAAAAAAAGTGTGTCTTCATCTTCTCTATCCTTAATATTATCCACATCTCAGTTTTCTTCCTCAAATCTTCACCATCAAAATGCATATAATGCTGAATATTTGATGGTCTGTGAGAACTATTAGAAGGCTTTTAACACTTGCCCAACTTTCCCAAAACCAAAATTACATGGCAAGGCCATGGAACGACAAGGACGTGGAAACAGCCTCACCGTGTAATTTGACTGAGGCAAACATTATTAAAAAAAAAAAAAAAAAGGAAAGGAAAAAGGAAGAAAGTCTTGAAAATCTCAAGCCCTAAAACTGCTCTGGATTTTTTGGAACGCAGTGTGGGAAAACGTTGTCTAGTCTGACAAGAAAAGTAGGTAACATTCTTTTGAGAAATGGAATTTTGACGTATTACCCCTCCAAGAATCTGTGGATGGTCATTTTTTGCCGTTCCAAGTTTGAACAACATGGAAATCGCCCGGTAGGAGGAGGCCTGAGCTTTTTGCCAGCCAGCATCGATGACCCAGGGAGCATTTGCTGGACGAGGTGCTTGCTACCTGCGAGCTAACCTTCGCTCCTTGCTTTGCAGACCGCAGCAGTCTAGCTTCTCTCAAAATGCAACTGGTTATTTACTTGCATGTATTTAAAATCCCTCAGAACTGCTGCGAAAACTTTGGCAGTGGTGTGTGTGTGTGTGTGTGTGTGTGTGTGTGTGCTCGCCCCTGCCTGCCAGTGGGTTTTTATGAGCAACCACAAGTGGGATTTTTCCCCCGCCCCCTCCCCCCTTTTCCGGTTCTCAGAGAAAGCTCTCGGGTGCATTGTGTTTCCACCCTGCAGACTTAAATAACGTTCAAGGCATATCATCAGAGAAACCGAACACTCAGTGACCAAACCGACTAAAATTCTATAGCAAGTTTTTAAAAAGTAGATGCCTAAATTGCAGACTTTGCTACAGAGAACTCATTTCCAATGATATTATGTAATATGTATGTTCCTAGCCACCACATTCCCCATGCCAAAAGAAAAAAAAAAATCAGAGAAATCAAATAGCATAAAACACTACCGCAGAGAAGGAAGACATGCATTTAAAGCGCTGACGAAAATGGCGTGCAGTATAATTGCCTCAAATTGCTGTTCGCTTGACACCCTGACACTAATTTTATTCAAGCCATTGGGAAATAAATGTTTTAAAAGCATTGCTTTCCAAACGCCAGGGTGAGTGAGGGCTGTGAGGTCGTAAAGGAACGGAAAGGGTAAAGTTTCCAGCACGCACAAAGAATTAAAGAATCCATTTAAAATAAGCATCAAGGTAGATCGGCAGCCTTTAATGCCCACATTTTTAAGGCTTGCCCTGTTCGTGGATTGCTTTTTCTTTTTTTGCTTTTTTTTTTTTTTTTTTTTTTTTTTGCTTCAGCATTCCCTCACCAGATGGATTTTTGCTACTGCAGATCAGCAGAGGGTGTCAGATCTTCCCGAGTGCACCGGGCTGGAACGCAGAGCTTCTTAGCAACTCTCCGCTCTGCCCCCTCCCCATTCTCGCGCTCCCTCCCTCCCTCAGACAACTCGCCCCCTTTGCCTCCTCCCCCCGCCCCCTGCACGTAAATCCCAAAGAGCAGAAGAAGAAAGAGAAGAAGAAGCAGAGAAAAGGAGAGCTAGTAAGCGAGAGCCGAAGCACAGATAGAAAAATAAATAAATAAATAAAAGGCTCAAGAGGACCGAAGGGGAGGAAGGAAAAGGATGGACAGCCACAACACGCAGCGATTGCGGAAATTTTCGAGCGCCATTGGCTGGGCAGCGTGAGTCCTCCGGTCGGGCGTGATTTCAGCACCGGGGGGACTGGACAGCACCTCGGGGGGGACTTCTGGATAACCCGCAACCACAGCAAGAACTGCACCGCAGCCTCCACAGCCGGAGCCGCTGAAAACGCTGCTTTGTAACAGAGAAGCAAGGTCAGTCCGAAGCACAGCCATGCACAGGCAGTGCGCCTGTACTACGCTGCAAACCCTCTGCTTGTTTCTCTAACATGTTCTGATTTGCTAGCATTGTTCCTTTTCTGGTTAGTGAAGATCACTAGATAAGATTCTGAAAGGGTGTATTTTTCATTTGTGTGTACATATTTCACTTAGTTTGGTTATTTTAAGGAGGTCTAGGGGGCACAGGGAGCTCTTACTTTTTTCTTTCTTTTTCTTTTCTTTTTTTTTTTTTTTTTTTCCTGCTTGCCTTGCATTACGTGCCTGGATAGTTTGTGGATCTAATTATTGACTGGCGTCTGGGCTATTGCAGTGCGGGGGGGTTAGGGAGGAAGGAATCCATCCCCACCCCCCCAAACCCTTTGCTTCTCCTTCCCTGGGTTCGGACATTGGAGCACTAAATGAACTTGAATTGTGTCTGTGGCGAGCAGGATGGCTGCTGTTACTTTGTGATGAGATCGGGGATGAATTGCTCGCTTTAAAAATGCTGCTTTGGATTCTGTTGCTGGAGACGTCTCTTTGTTTTGCCGCTGGAAACGTTACAGGGGACGTTTGCAAAGAGAAGATCTGTTCCTGCAATGAGATAGAAGGGGACCTACATGTAGACTGTGAGAAAAAGGGCTTTACAAGTCTGCAGCGTTTCACCGCCCCGACTTCCCAGTTTTACCATTTATTTCTGCATGGCAATTCCCTCACTCGACTTTTCCCCAATGAGTTCGCTAACTTTTATAATGCGGTGAGTTTGCACATGGAAAACAATGGCTTGCATGAAATCGTGCCAGGGGCTTTCCTGGGTCTGCAGCTCGTGAAAAGATTGCACATTAACAACAACAAGATCAAGTCTTTTCGCAAGCAGACTTTTCTGGGGTTAGACGATCTAGAATATCTTCAAGCTGACTTCAATTTACTACGGGATATAGACCCGGGGGCCTTCCAGGACTTGAACAAGCTGGAGGTGCTCATCCTGAATGACAACCTCATCAGCACCCTACCTGCTAACGTGTTCCAGTATGTGCCCATCACCCACCTGGACCTCCGCGGAAACAGGCTGAAAACGCTACCCTATGAGGAGGTCTTGGAGCAGATCCCGGGCATCGCCGAGATCCTGCTGGAGGACAACCCTTGGGACTGCACCTGCGACCTGCTCTCTCTGAAGGAATGGCTGGAGAACATTCCCAAAAATGCCCTCATCGGTCGTGTGGTCTGCGAGGCCCCCACCAGACTGCAGGGGAAAGACCTCAATGAAACCACCGAGCAGGACTTGTGTCCTTTGAAAAGCCGGGTGGATTCTAGCCTCCCGGCGCCCCCCGCCCAAGAAGAGACCTTTGCTCCTGGCCCCTTGCCAACTCCTTTCAAACCGAATGGGCCGGAGGATCCTGCCACCCCAGGGTCTGCGCCTCCCAACGGAGGCACGAAGATCCCTGGGAACTGGCAGATTAAAATCCGCCCTACGGTGGTGACAGCGGCGGGGGGCGCCAGAAGCAAAGCCCCGGCCAACCGCTTGCCCTGCCCCGGGGGCTGCAGCTGCGACCACATCCCGGGGTCGGGATTGAAAATGAACTGCAACAACCGGAACGTGAGCAGCTTGGCTGATTTAAAGCCCAAGCTCGCCGATGTGCAGGAGCTGTTCCTGCGAGACAACAAGATCCACAGCATCCGAAAATCACACTTTGTGGATTACAAGAGCCTCATCCTGTTGGACCTGGGCAACAATAACATCGCCACGGTGGAGAACAACACTTTCAAGAATCTCTTGGACCTCAGGTGGCTTTACATGGATAGCAACTACCTGGACACACTGTCCCGGGAGAAATTTGCAGGGCTGCAGAACCTCGAGTACTTGAACGTGGAGTACAACGCAATCCAGCTGATTCTCCCCGGCACTTTCCATGCCATGCCCAAACTGAGGATTCTCATCCTTAACAACAACCTGCTGAGGTCGCTCCCCGTGGATGTGTTCGCAGGGGTCTCGCTGTCCAAGCTCAGCTTGCACAACAACTACTTCATGTACCTGCCGGTGGCGGGGGTGCTGGACCAGTTAACCTCCATCATCCAGATCGACCTGCACGGAAACCCTTGGGAGTGCTCCTGCACCATTGTGCCTTTCAAGCAATGGGCAGAGCGCCTGGGCTCGGAAGTGCTGATGAGCGACCTCAAGTGTGAGACGCCGGTGAACTTCTTCAGGAAGGATTTCATGCTTCTTGCCAACGACGAGATCTGCCCCCAGCTGTACGCGAGGATCTCGCCCACGTTGACTTCGCACAGTAAAAACAGCACCGGGTTGGCGGAGACCGGGACGCACTCCAACTCCTACCTAGACACCAGCAGGGTGTCCATCTCTGTGCTGGTCCCGGGACTGCTGCTGGTGTTCGTCACCTCCGCCTTCACCGTGGTGGGCATGCTCGTGTTCATCCTGCGAAACCGCAAGCGCTCCAAGAGAAGGGACGCCAACTCCTCAGCGTCCGAGATCAACTCCCTACAGACAGTCTGTGACTCTTCCTACTGGCACAATGGGCCTTACAACGCGGATGGGGCCCATAGAGTGTATGACTGTGGCTCGCACTCTCTCTCAGACTGAGTTCCAGACCACCCACCTCCCCAACGAAAAGAGAGAGAGAGAGAAAGAGAGAGAGAGAGAGAGAGGTGGGGGCTGATGTAGGGGGAAGGGAGGAGGGCGGGCAGGCAAACACAGACACATCCTCCTGCCTCGCAGATTTTGCAGGGGCGCTGACCCAAATCCAGCGCGCCCCCAGCCGTGACGGACCTATCAATGAGCAACTACAAACTCGCCTGACTGAAAGGGTCGCCACCTCCCCCGCCCCCAGACACGCACACCCCAGCTCCGATCTGCAAACAAAGAGCAGACCAGGGCGAGCCTGCGAGAGCTTGGATCACTTGCTCTCAGCTGGGAGCCCACGCTGACAGACGTCCAGGCTTGGCACCTGCCGGAGGATTGCACAGTGGCCTCCCACGCCCCTCATCTCTGACCCCCGGGCTCAGGAGTCGTGCAGGATGACTGCCTCGGCCCAATACATATATACATATATACACATTATATAGAGAGATAGATATCTATTTTTCCCCCTGTGGATTCGCCCCGTGATGGCTCCCTGTTGGCTACGCAGGGATGGGCAGTTGCACGAAGGCATGAATGTATTGTAAATAATAACACTGACTTCTGACAAAGAAACAAGCCAACAAAGTTCTGCATGGCTCGCATGGAATCCACGCGCTCCAGGGACTCTGCCCGCCCCGCGACTGGAGATGGCGTCTCATTCACAATACCCACCCTCTTACCTGATAAGTCCCATCGTATCAAACTTTCTATAAACAAATTACAGTATAATCAGAAAGTGCCATTTCGCCATTATTTGTGACCGGTAGGCAGTTCAGAGCGTATGTTTACTGTGAAAAAAAAATGTAAAGGTTTTATTTAAGACATTTGCATGGCTAATTAACAGTCCATTTTATGAGTTAACGATGTATTTTGTTTGAGGGAAGCTTTTAGGTATTCTTTTGGGTTCTTCTTTTTTTCCGATGGTGATGTTTTATTTTTATTTTATTTTATTTTATTTTTTGAGGGGGGGGATATTTTTCTATACATATCCAATAATGCCTTCCATCTGAATGTAAAATAATTACCCTTGATTTATATTATAGTATCAGTGTAATTATTTAAAAAAATTTTGCGGCAGTTAAGCATGACCAATCCATGTCACCCTAGTGCTTAGGCTGCTATTCTACAGTAGCAATTCTGTGCTGGTATCAATCTTACTTATAAAGTAGGAAAAAAAGACTGAGGAAGCACGCGGAACTTACTAATTCTATTCGAGGATTTTATAATGGCATATTTTTTCAGTATTAAAGTGAAAATGTTTTCAAATCTGGGTCCTCACATTTTTCCAGCTTCATAATTCGCAACTATTAAACTGGATTTGCGGAGGAAGGGGTTGGGGGAGGGACAAGGGAACGGCGGGGGAGGGGAGGTGGCATCCCAAGCTTCCCTAAAGCTCTTTCTCTAATCCCCTAAGTTTTTCCCCTTTTAGCTTCTCTCCTTTCACTCCCCAACGTCCCTCAGACTTCCTGCTTCCCTCCCCCTGTCCATAAACTAGGGTCTTTCCCCCAATACACTCTCCTGCCTTTACCTCCTGACCCCCTCCTCCCAATGCGACACTCAATCCCTTTATTCAGGCTGCTGGTCCTTCGCTGCTGTACTTGTTGGCGCTGCCCTTACTGCAGATATATTAAAGATGTTAAGAGAAATTTGATTTAATTGACTCTGCCTAGATCGGTTTCATTAAGCAAGTGGAGATTTCATTGGTCAGCACTCCCCGATGAAAGACAATCTTAATGACTGGTTTTTGAGATGCTGCTGGCATTTTCAATTCAACATCTGCTGAAAAATGGTAAAGCTAATTAGTGCCCACCCACCCTCCCTGCCCCAGCAACTGCAAATGGAAATGTATTAAAGCACTCCTCCTCATGGAAATCAAGCATTATCCTAAAGGAGCATCTCTCTCCCACCATCCGGATTTCTGGTTGGGACTCAATAATTAAACAGAATAAGCATTGAACTGTTTGGAATTTATACACCAGTGTTACTCTGCCCCCATTCGTATCTATTGCTCTGAGATTCTTAACCAACATTCATCCACAGTTAGGGTTAGGCTGCCAAAAGCAGACCTGCTGCACTAATGTTGGGGTCTGCATTCCACCACGTATTCACCCTTCATAAGTGTGCTGAAAAACTGCAGGCCACAGATAGAATATTTCAAATCAGCTAAAGAAAGCCCCTCATAAGTTCAAAGTAGATTTTTCATCTTGAACTCACATTATAAAGGGAAATGATTTCCAAGAACAGCCATGTTCTGGAATGTGTATTTAACACTTTTAAAATAAAATGTCTATTATAAACCAAGATTATTTTGAAGGACATTGATCATTTCCTGTTTAATTGTTTTGTTTGTAGAGTGCATTTCATGAGGTAAAATTGCAAACTATTGTCTGAAAAGTATTATTAATTGGTTACATGTGAATGCTTTAAATATTTTTATGAAACATTTAGCTTGATTTTGAGTAAGCCAAAAACAGATTTTTTTTTTTTTTGTCATGGGGAACTTAGCCGTGAGAAGCCACTTTTCAGCAATATCATAATCATAGGAACAAAGTAAAAACTGGCAGCTATAGAGACAATGTTTCTGGAAGAAGTGACAGTTGATGAAAGATATTCATGGTTGATGTTGATGCCTGAGTGGCAGAGATCAGAAAGATAGGATTTGTCATAAACGGTGTACACAGGGACCATATAAGGAGGCCAATGTTAAAGATAAAATATTGTCATACAAATGATATCCTTAATGATTTTTGATTGGCCATTGTTTGCCTGTCACATGCTAGCTGGTTTATAGAATTGTTTAAATTCACACCTACAGGACAACTTAGTACTTCCATCTCAGATTAGAAAACTGAAACTTGAGGAATGCACACAAGGTAGTTCCCATCATATGTGGTAAACAGTGCAGAGGAATCTAATATAATTTTCTTCAAAGTCTACGACCTTATTGTTTGTATAATCATACATATATACTTGACTAGAAGCTTAAAGGAAATTAAAAATCATAAATATAATCCATAAAAAACCCAGGGTCCATGATGAAATATGGATCTAAATTGTCTTCTTAGTCATATATGCAGCAAAGGTCCTGTATATGTAGTGTCTGTTATAAAGAATTAAATTTACCTTTAAATCCGTGGCAATAGCTTTTAATTTTATTTTGTATGATGTTTACATAATTGGCAAGGATGCATGCCCATGTGGACCACTGATTAGAGTGGAGATAGCTGAGGTATAGGGAAAGTGAGTGAGATTATTTATTTCTAATTCTCTCTTTCTTCCTGCTTTTGGGGTCAGGAGAGAGCAGGGGAGAAGCCACACACAGCATCCTAACTCTATCAGTACTGGAGGATCGAGGATGGCCAGCCAATGGCATCCCAGGGGCCACTGGTAATAACTAATGCATTCTCTCAGAGTATATACCTACATAATGGATGAGACAAAATGAATATACTAATATGAGTTAGTGAAACATAGGCATTCAAATTACTTCCTTTAATTATCCATGTATTGAATCTAAAATTATTAGGGCTGATTTTTTGAAAATAATAATACATTTTTAAAATCCATGTGGAATATATCTAATGACCACATAGGTAGCAACATGTATTATTAGACCAGCAATGGTGATATATCTGCACCATATTTATTTTTGTATACCATATATTACATATACATTTATTATTCTACATATACACTAGCATGAATATGTGTATGCTTAGAGAATACAGACTAATTGTGGTCTCTCCGCATGATGTCATTGACAAGTATTTATATGCTCCAGTTTTTCTTTACATAAAATGCTCATATAACTGAATTTGGTATGTACATCAATTGAGATAGTCTGTAGCTGAATCATTCTTCAAAGCAAAAGAGAGTTGGACCCATTGGAAAAACAGGGAAGAACACGATACCTGGCTTAGTAACATTGCTCTAAAGAAAGTAGGAGCTCCTGTGTCTACTGTGACTAAGAAGGTTTTAGAATTTAAGATGTTGTCATAGAAATTTATTGTTTACCATCTTTACTTATTAGTTCAAGAGAAAGTTGGGTTGGCTGGTCCTGCATTAACGTATTAAGATTCTTCTTAACAGTTGGCTTTCAATTTAGAATTACTGCATCATTAGAATTGTCAAGTGTTTTAATGTGTTAAATATTTATTGGGCTTCCAGGAACAGTTTGCCAGTGTAGCTTTTTCAGTTGTTGAATAAATATTGCTTAGTATGTATGGAGAGGTGTATGAATTTGTAAGAATGAGCATGGAAGTGTGGATTTATAATATATTAGTGGAATATTAATTGCATGATTTCTAATTCAGCATTTATGCAAGCTCGTTTATAAGTAGTGCTTTTCTATTTATTTATTTTAAGGAAAATTTGAAATATGCGATGTGCTAAGGACTGTTTTAGCATGCATTATTTTCAGCTCATTTAGTCATATCTGAACCTATTAAAAAGCAATATATTATTTGTTTGAAGAAAATACACATACTGTAAATTCTTACTCATTATTTTTAAATTTTATAATTTGCCTTACTGTGGTTCAGAATAACCACAATAAGGGGCTTGTTTGATGGCACACCATGTCAAGCTACTGCCTCCCAGCATCCCGTTTTCAAGTGCTGGTTGGATTCTCAGAAGCTCTGCTTCAGATCCAGCTCCTTGCTGGTGTTCACAGAAGAGCAGCGGACAGTGGCCCAAGTGCCAGGCCCTTAGCCACTCACATGTGAGACTAGGATGGAGTTTTGGGCTCAAGCTTAGGCCTGTTTCCACCCTGGCTATTACGTCCATTGGAGGAAAATAGCAGCAGAAGGGAGGGCTTTCTCTGTATCTCCTTTACCCTCTCTCTGCCACTCTCGCCTTGCCTTTGATTTAAATAAATCTTTACAAATAAATAAATAGTAGTCAGATAATTCCTAGGCATTTTAATCTATAGTAACATCAAAATGTTATTTTAAAATAAGCTACTATTCCAAA